TACCCCACAAAGAGTTGTAAAGGATGAATGAATGGGTATTTTCAATACTAGTCTACATGGCATGCTGGCAAAATGTTGGGACTTGCAGCTGCTTTTAAGTTCTAAAAACATTTAGAAATAGATATGGAATCCTCCCTAGCACATGGACCATTTAGTATCATGGGGGGCAGCATCACTGAGATAGAAAAAAATTGTCATGAGATGCGCAAATGCATCTCCTGAATCACTTTTATTCTCTCAACAGCCACAAAGCAGGGATATTAACAAGGGCAACTTGCAAGGCTTTGTCAAAGATCTTAAAGATTATGAACTAGTTAGTGTATTTTAATACAATAAGCAGAAGAGTTGACCAAGTATTTGCCCATGCACGCACATTCTTTCTTGTCCCTTAACGCTGCTGTGATAAAGCTAAGGTGTTTCTAACAATCGTTTCCTAATTCATCTAAACTGGAAAATCACGGACATCCATTTCTGAACAAGCATGGATACTAAACCACACTTTGGAGTTGTTTGATTGATTGTGAAACTGGTCACTGGGAGGTTGGATCCACGCTTAGTCAAAGTAATCACACGGAATAAATGAGATTTAAAAGTGTTGATGATTTCAATGGCTAGCCAAAGTAAGTTCAGTCTGATCTGATTCATTGTTTCATATTTTGATGAAATAGGAAATTATACTAATTCCTGATCTGATGGGGAAGGGAAGAGTAATGGAAGTGGTCATGTAAGCAAAATATTTATTAATATCTCAGCTTATTGAGTAGCTCCACACCTAGCCAAGAACTACAACATTCAACCATGAATCTTATTGGCTATTGGGGCAGAAACTTAATACTATAACATCTTCCTGCTGCTTCCAGTTTATCAGAAAGCAGATTATCCCTTCCCCAAATTAGCAGGCAGTGGGGCATAAGAAAATCCAACATCCATCTCCCATTAGCAACAATTCACAGTTTTCAATACAGAAGCCATCACCATATTCTGTTATTACCGATAGGGTTATAGCACAGAAACATAATTATGTCTGTTTATCATACAATTAAGCCTTCCCATTTACAGAATTTAACAAAAGGTCCAGAAGGAATTATCTTCTATCAGTAGCATGTTTTTCCATTTTAGTTTGTTGAAAAGAAGTTATAAACAATACTGTTCAGGATGAAAAGATGGAATAACTTGGGAGCTGGGGACCGACTCTTTAGAAAGCCACTGAAACTGCCAGAGGAAATACTAATTAGCTATTGATTAGTTTATCATATTAGTTCTTCACCTTGTGGATTGTTTATTAATGGGAAATTGGTGCTATAGGTCCCTTCACAAATGATCTATGGGTGAGAGGACTTGATGCTAGTTTAAGACAAGCTCACAGATTTGTTGGTCCTTGTGAAACAATTGCAAATAATTGTGCTGTGGCTTTCATGTTTATAATTCTTGCACTATAGTCTATCTGGCTGATAAATCAACCTATTTATTTAATATGTGGGGGAATTTTGAAAAACCAGGTTACAGTGTAACCTAGAGTGAAAGCTGAAGGACGAGAAAGAGTCTCAGCCCTATTTCAGTGTCTGCAGCTGAACTATTTAACAGCTTGCTGCTTCAGTGCACTCCCTTATTTGTTGTGTGTCCAGAATGCCAGAAAACACGATGTTGACATTATCTGCCTTTACTACTTGAAGATGAACGAATATATGATATTTGTATCACACCAACCCAAGAAGAAAATAAAACACCAAGCTGCTATGCCTCTAATCCTATAGCAAAGTGATGCAAGATCAGTAAGAGGTAATATATAAAACTGCAAAGAAAGAACATGTATACGCTCATTAAGCACTAAAAGAATGCATTACAACTTCCAGAATGATGCCCAGGTTCATTACAATGAAACAGACATTGGCAAAAAATGTAGAAAAGTCTATAATAAAACAAGGAAATCTTATCTGGGGGAAATGAAAAGAAAGTACTAAATAGTGAGGGTTTGTTTTTTTAATTGAAGTTCCAGTTGTGTTCCGCAGAATTAAACAACTGAAAATGAAATCCTATGAAGTCGTGGGGAGACTTAATTTTTGTGAACATGCAAAGACTTGAACTATCGGTTTTTATATATGAAACTTTTTCTTGCTGTTGATGCCATCAGATCATTATTTAATTTGGAAGTGATTGCTATAAGGGATGGAAGAATTGGCTGCCTATGTCCTTTCAGTGAAACAGCCTGAAACTTTCCCTGCAAGCTTGGTTTCCCCCCACCCCACCCCAGATGAGGACTGCTGTTCCTAGGTAATAAGATCACGATGTTCAAGAGGAAAGAAGTGCTCCTTGGGAAAATAATGTTGTATGAGATTTAAAAATCCATGTGTTATATTGGTGAGGAAGAAAAAGAACAGGGCATTGAGAAGTGAAATGGATAGTCAGGAGATTCCCAAGAAAGAATTTGAGGGAATAAGTTGTCCCAGAATAATAGAATTGGGTGAAGAGTATATGGGAACCTGCAAACTATTTACACACTCTCTCAATCCCCAAGCTGAGAAAGCTCGACATAACATCTTTCCCTCCGTATTGGTGCGGGGCAGTTTTGCTAACATTCCATTAACAGAGTGTCCCTGCCCTTGCATTGCTAATGAGATAGAAACAATCAGCCACGTCCTACTACACTGTATGTTTTACAAGGCCATTTGGGCCAAATTTATTTTACCCCTATTATGCAACTATGCTGGAAGATTGGACAAGCACCTGGTGAAGATGCTTTTAGAAGATCTGAAACTCTACATCACCTGCTCAGTAGCTACGTTTGGTGCTGCTGCAACAGAAATTAGGCAAAAGCTGATGCAGGGATAACTTTATTGGGGTTTTTTTTCCCTTCAGTTTCATCATGTTGCAGTTTTATAGATTACAGTTATATAGTTAAAATACTATCGTTTTGGTTTTAGGAACTATTTTGTAATGGTTTTAGGTTCACTGTGCTCTAGACTTCAATTGTAGTTTTAATGTTAAACATATTATGTTCTTGAGAATAACTGGTCTTACGGGGTGTGTGATGTAATATACTATTATGCTAGTTTCTTCTGCCTCTTGAAGTGTTTTTTTGGTTTGAGGTTGTAGCTTTGTATTTTCTATTTGTTTGTATCTTTGTTTATTTGGTGCTGGTCATTGACCATTTACAGATTACTGTATATATATACATGCATATATACATGCAGTACATAAAGGAAACTAGTTATGCAAGCAGAATGCTGTGTTTCAATGCAGCACAATGTTTAAGAAGACAAAATTTTAAAAAAGACGACAAGGGGAAGATTTATTAATATATAGTTTAATTCATAAACTGACCTCAAAACATCTTAGTCCTTTTTTCCCCTGAGCCATTCTTTAACTTCCAATGAACGTGTCTTATAATTAGTATTTTCTTAAAAAAAAAAATCTGAAATATAGGTTTCCTTCTCTTCAATAAATAATTCCTACATGGGTTTTCAACATGTATTATTTAAGTTTAAAATGTTCTCACATTGGACACTTCTATATGTTTTATTGTTATTGTAATTCTATCTTTCTGGAAAATTACATCATTTGCATTTTGGGAAGAAATTAATTGTCTGAAGGAACTAAATCCAAATTTAGAAATAGTTTTTGAGCTGCAAAGGCTCTTCCTGCAAAGTGTACTGATTTTAGGAATGTAGGAATAATTTGATTTTTCAGGAATGAAGAAATTCTGTGGAAATGTCATTTACTCACATAATTTCCTCCATGATTATTTTAACTACCCTCTAACAGATTTTACTGGCTCTCTCCATTTTTGTCAAGATATGTGGTTGATCGTGTGAGTGCGTCCTCACTCTGCAGCCAAGACTGGAGGTGTTCATTGTCCAAAGATGGACTTTTCTGATTGACCTTGTTTCTTCCATTGTGCACACTCCTCCCCCAAATATGTGATACATTCTCTCTCCTGCCAATGCTACCGGTTGCTGTTTTCTGATGAAGAATCTCTTATAATCATTCCATAGATATTAAGCATACCATTTCCCTAGTCATTGGGTGTATAAGGGTTGGCTTGAAGGGGGACAGGCCCCATTCAAAATACTTAATGGCACAGCTTTGACGCCCCACTCTTAAACATTTCAAAATATCTCCCTGTCTTTAATGGGCACTTAGAAAGGATCTGAAATTATCCATCTGCTTCTCAGTAATTTAGCAGTGTATTAAGGGGGCTTACGTATGTCTACATGATATGAGAGGAGCACGATTTTTAATCTTCTACCATTATTTTCAGAAATTTCTGTTGCTCATAAAATCTAAACTATCCAATTCCACTACTGTGAAATGTGGCATCAATCACCAGTGGCTATAGTTATCATGAGTCAAGGAAAGCCAAAGAACAGATGCCCTCAGCAATTTTAAATCAGTTATCAGTACTAGTATTCATGCTTTACCAAATATTAAGAACAGGATAGGTCACCTATGTCAAACTCCACACTACTGATTTTTGCAATAAATTATAAACATATACAGATGTAAATGTGTGTATCTCTGTCCAGCCCCCATTTTGTTACCCTAAAATAAGTCATATTTAGGAACACTAATAAACAGCATTGTAGAGGAAATCATTCTGACCTTAAGCTTCTTCAGAAAAACTCTGTATTATAAGGCTGTGGTTTTAAACAACAAGAATAATTCATTTAAATGCCAAATGGCAAATCTGAATTACATGTTTATTAATTCATGTAGCCGAAAGCAGCTTAGCCAATGCAAAATGCCTGTTTACAAATCAATTGCTCACTTACATTTTTAATAGATGTTTGAGCAGCAATTTGATTTAAGGAGAGGCAGTCAGGAAGTCTAACTGGACCTGTTCATAAACCTGTCAGCAGATGCTGATTCTGCTTAGCTGCAGAAAAGTCTGGCTAAATGCATTATCATATTAATAGGTTATATGTCAAAAATGCAAAATGAAGACGTTTTCAACTGACTTTCATTTCTGTGTTATTAAAACAACAACAAATGGTAATGCTCACAGTTGCTACTTGCTCTGTGGCTCCTTTGTTCCAATGTATTTTCAGACTCCTTATATGGGTACTGAAGAGTTGTATCCAAACTTCTGAAGCCTTCTTTGAGAGAGTGATGTTTGTAATATTCCACAAGTTCCTTCCAGAATACAAATATATAGATAGACATTAATAATAATTTCTCTCAAACTTTTATTGCAAAGGTATTTGATGACATTTGTGATCAACACCAGAAGGCATCTTCCATCACGAGACAGAGATTTGCTGCAGGGAGAGTATAATTCGATGGGAAGGGGAACAAAAAGCGTTAAGCAAACGAATTCCACAAAATGTCCCATACCTATTATGAAACTGCTGCTTGAATGTCAAATGGGCTGTTTTGAGCATTTTGGAAGTGCTCCAACCTCAGATTAAAGTGTTGAAGCTCAGAGCTTCACAAGTTCAGGCTTGAAGTGCTTCCAGCAAGCTCAGAATTGCCCACTTTGCTCTGAAAAGGGCATTTGGCAAAATTTTACACTCTAAATGTTTTGAACACATCCCTAATGAGTTTTGATTCATTCATGAAAGTTGTTGCCTGTTCATAGCTGTAGAAATGGACATTTATTCATGCAAGGCTGGCCTAGTTCTTATCAAAAGATACTGTACGAATTAAAACAATTTGAATGGTATTATCAGCTTTAAACACTTTTTATATTTAAAAACATCTACACATAAAAGCAACTACATTTTGGATGGATTAAAACAGAACTTTCTCCCTATATCTGGATTTTAATGCGCATGGGAGTATACAATCATGTGGACAAAAATCCATCCTTTGTTCATGTGGACAACAGTCCCAACACAAATTTATGACTTTACCTAATATGTTAATTAGCGTTTGGATCTTCATGTACATATATTTGCCCATTGTTATTATCCTGGTTATTCCTTTATTCTTTTAATACATATATGAAGCATTTTGCTTACACATGTTTACACACTTGTTTGCACACAGAAACATAATCACTCTGAACTGACCTGCAAATAAACACATGGAAACAGTGGCAACCACACTGGGAAAGAGCTAGAAATGTGAGCAGCTATGTTGAAGCTCCTATTTGCCCAGATCAATTTTTACTGCAAATTTCTCCAGGACATACAGCTCATCTAAATATCAAATGTCATTTCCCCCATATATACATCAGCTCAAAATGCGAAATAAAGTTTTCTGGTTTAACAATGCATGAGCCAAATGCAGGACCCAATAGGAACGTATTCTAGCATTTATCTTCATTCTTCATCAAATACTAAATGAGTATTTTGTTAACTACATGGTAAAGGTACCTAAGCAATCCCACTGTTTGGTGAGTTTTTTCTTTATGTGAGTTAATTCCTTGCAAAGACCTTCAGGGAATTTAGTCTTTTTTTAGTTGTTACATAAACTACCCTATATATGGATCAGAACTAGTTATCCACAACTTTTATACTTCGTTAATTTTGTAATAGCTTACACATGATTATCCTAGAATATTACATGGATGGATGGATGGATGGATGGATGGATGGATGGATGGATGGATGGATGGATGGATGGAAGACAGACAGACAGACAGACAGACAGATATTACTTGAATTGTGCAAATCATTCAGAAAACATGTTTCACAACACATATTCACAAACAATCCTTTCTGTTCAAATTATCAAAGCCAATGCATCTCTTCCAAGACTCACATGGCTGCTTCAAAAGCCATCTCCAGCTGTCTCTCTCCACATGCACGTATGCATAACCACTTTGAATGTAGTGGTTTCACAAGTAGTGACAGCCTTTGAAACAACCACAAGAGTTTGCATGTCATCAGTTGGTTAAAGTAATTTAGCTTTAATAATAATAATAATAATAATAATAATAATGCCTTTTAACTCTTTGTGGACACTTTGGCTATATTGTATATTTGAGTTCTGTGTACAGACCAGTCTATGGCTATAATAATAACAAACTCAACTAATATAGTAAATTTCTCTTAAAAGCATTATCAAACTGCATTTTCAACTGTTATGACAGAGAATATTATTAGAAATATGCATGTTGAGAGGAAGTATGCTTTTAATCACATTTAAATCAATGACTGTAAGAGCGAACATATGAAGAAGTAGCAGTAACTCCCAACAGTCTGAAACATTTCATTAAAGTTCTTGTTCTTCTCCTGTCCTTGTTTGTTTTTTAATGAACCTGCATATAGCATAATGAGTACCTTACAAACTGGGAAAGAACTTTCAGAAGACAGATGCTTACAAGCAACTATCAAAAACATTCAGAACAGCTTACTTCTAATCATTTTTTAGTTCCTTACATGCTAATAGCTTGATGAAAATGTATAAATCTGTGACTGATACAGGCTTACACATTTGCATTAAAAATTGATTTAAGAAAAAAAAAAAAGATTATCCCTGGCAAATATAGTAGTGATTAATTGTCACAGCTGCATCAAATCCAAACATGTAAATTTCATGAATTTCAAGTGGCAGATATTCAAGCACATGCTCCCTGGGATCAATGGGATTCAATATATTTAGGTTTGGCTTGATGGCATTTATTGCTTCTAGTTTTGAAGTGCTGGTCTTCTATTACGTGTGAGTACATGATATATACAGCTCTCAACGGCATGATAAATCTTCTACTACTGCTGATCCCATCTCTATGTGGAAAGGTCACAGCCCTGTTCAAACACAATGTTCATGTTCATGTTTTCCTTTTATTGCTATGTGTGCAACAGTATATTTCTTATTGTAAGGTATATTTTCTGCAATCAACTGGAAAAGTACTGGGAAAGTAAACGGCACAAAGGCTCAGATTGATACAATTTCTTGATAGACAAAGCAATACCAGCGTTTGATACCTGTTTTCAACTCCTGATTCAGTAACCTGAGAGTAAATGTCTGTGATAAAAGAAGCTCTAGTTTTCCTTGTCAAAGGACTGCATGTCTCATATAGCAGTATACATAAATAACTGTCTTGCAAATACTTCTAAGATGGATATGTCAGATATCTGTGAACCAGCTACCACTGCTTACCTCCATTTGTTTGCTTTTAAATAGCAGAAATGTTTAGCTTCAAGACTGTAGCTGCACAGCTATCAGATAAGAGCATGCCCCTAGCAACAGGTCCTAGTAAACAATCGCTGTGGCTTGCCAAGTCAATGGCCTGTAAGAAGACATTCTTTGTATTTCATCAGATGGCATGAGGATCAAGACTGTGTAGCTTTTAAAGAATATACAGTGCACTTTCAAGAGCTATATTTATATCAGAAGATGCACAGAGAATCCAATGTGATATCAAAATGATAATGCACATGACTCAAGGCTTCAGCGTGTGAGATAAAATTATGTCCAGATGTCTTCTCTCCAAAATAGATGGGTTTATTATAGTTTACTGGAATTTCATAATAATCATAATCCTAAATTATCTTTTGAGATTATTTGACTCAGTGACCAGAATATCAAACTTAAGGCCAGCAAAATTCTAACTGAGATCTTTCCTTCCCTACGAAGCTTACTGGGGGGCAATCAATGTCTCTTGGCCTAACCTAGCCCGCAGGGTTGTCATCAATCCTCAATCTTCTTGGAAGAAGGCATGACAAAAATGTAATAAAATCAACTGATATAAATATTACATTTTCAAATAGCAGTTTTTGAATTCTGGGAAGGCCTCATTTTTCTGGTGGAATCAGATAATCTGTTCCTCAAACTTCTGATGGCTATGTCTTATGGTGTAGGTCTGCGTATTTGGGTTTTTTCTGATTTAGTAAAATTAGTCACTGGAAGTTGAGCAGTGTACAAATTTAATAAATAAATGAATAAAAATATGTAAAAAGACCATGTTTACTCAAAAGAGTTCCAAGCCTGCCCACAGGATTTAGAAAAACTACATTCTGGGCTTTTTTCAAACATCCTTCACTTAGGGTTCCTAGATGTCCCTTTACATCTTGTATATATGTGGAAGTAAGCTCCACTGATCTCTAGCAGGACTTATTTCTGAGTAAGCCTGCACAGGTCAGGTTGTAAAGCATATTTAGCATTTGCTTAACCAAAGTCTTTCTACAGCAATAATGCAACTCTTGCACTTTAAAAACAACTAATTATCTTACAAATAACTGTACAAATGCTAACTCTTAATCTTCCAACATTCTAATTCATTTTGGAATCAATACATCCTGGTACAATGAAATCAACTCAGAATAAATGATCATATAAATTAGAATAAGGGTTAAAACCAACACTATTGACAAAGGATCTAGAAATAATGCAAGACATACATTTCACAAAACCCCTGAAATTCTTTGTATAAGTAGAGCATGTTTTCTGTCCCCCGCCCCACTCCAAATTATGATTATTTAAAGAAATCCTTAGGGGACCAACACAGAGGTTAAGAAATAGGTAAAAAGATCAAAGCAAAAACATAGACTCTAATTTATTCTGCTCTTTCAAACCACAGCAATTTCTTTCCAGAGTGAAAATATAAGATAGCTTATTTAATATAAATTGCTATTCATCAGCAATTCATTCAATATACTCACGCTATTCAGCCATGTTTTAAGTCTCTGGAGTTAAAGTCAATTGAGTAGGCCAGGTTGAGACTAAGCAAGTTGAAATAAAAATATTATTTATAAAATGGAAACACTGCATAACTAGACCATTCCTGAATGATCATCCTGGCTCAGGACTATTTCAGAAAGTTACTGAAGTAATCTACCCAGTAAACAGGAAGCATACAGGATTCACACTTCCTGTTCTTGAACATCTTGAATTTCCATTTCAAACACTAATCAAGTAGCATGGAAAAATGAAGCAGGAATAATGTGTACTTTCTCCTTAGCATGGAAATCATCACATCTTCATTACTGTAAAACCACAAGCAAATATATATCTATCAGTGTTCTTTCTTACCATTTTAATATAAATAAGCCAATTGAACTGGAATCTGTTTAATACATGCTAAGTCATAATCCTCGATGCTTTCAAACAATAATGAACATTGTCTTTTTTCATATAGTTGCCCTGGTTTGTTTTGTTTTTTGACAACTTTGCAGATGTTGGGAGATTGATTCACTTATTAATCACCTCTTTATTTCCAGTGACAGTGAGTGCAACTGTGGTTAATATGTGTTAAAAACTAATCAATTCACTGAAGGCATCTACCCCAGAGCACTTGTCATGAATAATGATGAGAACTATATACCAATCTAGTTTTATTTACCTTTTCTTTTTTTAACAAATCCATCAAATCAGATAGTAGTAACATTAAGCTAGATATGTCAAAATTAGGCATTCAGTAAGATAAAGTCTGATTAAAGTATTTTTGGAAGTAGGAAAAAAAATAAAAACGTATACTTACCATTAAACTTCTAAATTTCCTATTTTCTGCAATGTGAAAAAAGCATTCTCTTGTGAAAATCCTGATGTGCTTCACTTCATTATTATACCTATGGGCAATGAATAACTTATGAATATAAATGTGTTTTCAATCAGGAAAAATCAATAATTACTTGACAGCATGCCCAAACCCTCCATGAATAAATTCTTAAGACAAAACACGTATCCATGCCAATACACTGCTGACACGTAATTAACAAAAGACATTTATTAGAGTCTGGCTAAACACGCCATCTAAGTTCAGATTTAAGAAAAAGCCTCCCAGCAATTTCTAATTATTGGATCCCACCATGCTGATTGCATTCAAATTCATATTGACAAAGATACCAACAGCTTTTCAAAAATTATTATTCCTTTGACATGATATCCTTGTTCCCACTCGATTCAAGGGAAAAATTCTGTTTGGCTTCAGTTGATAGCTTAATCAATTCTGAAAAATTTCTAGTTAAAATGCAAATAGACCTCTAAATCACCCTTTACTAGCTAGCATAAAATCATTTGTGTTCCAAGTCACAGATCCCTTAGTACACTCTCCCAGCTGAAGAGATTACTTGCAGAAGGTAATAAAAACTGGATTCCAGAAGAAGAGAACAGAGTTGACTCTATGAAAGACATAAAGGTTGCCCAGAGTGCTATGGCTGCATAAGGGGATTCCTGGATTAGGACTCCCTCCAAACACGGACACTGAAAGGCTGGGTGTAAGAACTTCTGTAACTCTGCTGTTCCCAATGCATAACTGTAAGATTTCAGAGAGCCAGTTTGGTCTGCTGGTTACTGGATTAAGAGCAGGGAGACCTGCGTTCTAGTCCTGCCTTAGGCACAGAAGCCAAATGGGTGACTTTGGCCCAGTCACTTTCCCTTAGCCCTAGGAAGAAGAAGCCAATGGCAAATACTTCTGTAAATGCTGCCTAGAAAACTACCTGTGGTCCATGTGATTGCCAGGAGTCAAGACTGTATTAAAAGGGGGGTGAGGGGAGAACATCAACCTCAGAATACCCTTGCTTGGCTAGGGACGCTAACTTCAAAAAAGTTTAGCAGGGCAGGCAAGCCAAAAATATTTTCCAAACCATCAAAGTTTTCATAAACATTTTAACAAATGGAATGTAACTAGCATGCATTTATCAGAAAATTTCCACACTGAATATTCATATATCAACGGCACAGACAATGTAAGGAAATACATAAGTCACTTACTTAATGCTAATGGCATATTCTCCTGATTCTTTAGTCCTATACCGCACTAAGTAAGTGCTGTTTTCCCGGTTAATAAGTTCTGCTTCTGCTTGTAATCTTTCCATTGTTCCTGCATACCTGAAATAAAGTGAATTTTATTTTACTTTATTTATTTTATTTGCTGCTCTAAAAAGAACCATAACTTTTTCATTATGCCAACCCGCTGCGAATTTGGTGGTTATATCTTAGTAATGGCTAGAACCACATGCAACAATCATGGGCAGAAGTGCATAGAAAAAACTGGGGTATTCATAAGCAAAAAATAAAATTAAAAAATCTCCCATTCTGCTGGCTATGGCATTCTCAGTAACCCATTCAATACCAGGAACTACATTTCTTGGACCACAGGTGCATCCAACCAATTGCAAAATGTGGGAATTCTGTGAGATCCACAAAAGATATTCTGTGCATGGAACCCTACTTCTTTTTGCCAGTTTGAAGACACTTTGTTTCCATGATTAGAACAGGTACTCCTATATACATATAGCTGAAAGATTAAGTTGCCATTTTCTTGTATAAACAAAACCTTAGTCTTCCTTAAACTCTCCAAGGCATATCACAGTGATTTAAGGGAATGATAAGCAATGATAACTGATCAATGGCTTGTGAGGTGCTTGTTGAATCTTCTGTCTATCAGCCACCTATGAGAACGAATAATTCTTCTGCCTATTTTTAATCAATGTACCAAAATCAGTGATACCAATGTACCAGAATTAACCAACGAAATTTACCAGAAGGTGTCTGCCAACGAAATCACTCCTCTGTATATGTACTTTAAGTCTTTGGGGAGCATAAATGAATCCTGCATCCGATTTAATTCAGAAAAGAATAGGAGATGTCAGCAGATCTTGGCAAAATACTACATTATCTGCTGGCATGCTTCATATAGTATTGATTTATTATTCTCATTACCATGGACAGCCATACTGATGCTCTCAAGAAATTAGGCAATTCAAGGAGGTATCCAGAAACAAATTTCCTAAGATGATGTTGATGTTATCCATTCAATCGTGGCCAGTTCTCAGAAATTCTATGGACCAGCTTTCTCCACATTTTCTGATCTTGTATGGCTTCTTTCAGTTGTTTATGCTCTGGTTGGTGTTGGCTTCGATGGTGTCTAGCTATCGTGTTTTTTGATGGCCTTGTTTCCTTTTACCACAGACCATTCTGAGCATAACTGCCTTTTCCAATGAGTATGATCACATGACATGGCCAAACTAAGCGAGGTGGAATTTTGTGATTTTGCCTTCCAGTGATATGTCTGGTTTTTTTACACTCCAGAACTTGTTTGTCCCTTTGCTGACCAAGGAATGCACAGGAGTCTTCTCCAACACCACAGCTCAAACAAGTCAATTTTCTTCCTGTCTAGTTTTTTCATGGTCCAACTTTCACAACCATAAGTAGCTTGTGGACTAATCTGGATTTAGTTGCCAGGCTGATGTCCTTGCTTTTTCATATTCGATTCATGCGCATCATTGCTGTGTGACCTAGTGTGATTCGATGCTTTATTTCCAGACTGCATTCACTGCTTTGATCAATCTGCAATCCTAGGAAAGTGAATTCTTGCGCACATTCAATCTCTTCACTGTCAATTGCTATTTTGACATTTACATTCCTCACAGTGGTCATGAGCTTGGCCTTTTTGATGTTCAAGAAGAGGCCAAATTTCTTGCTTTCTTTTTTAATCCTTCTGATCAGATGTTTCAAGCCTTCTTTGGTTTCTGAGAGGAGAGTTGTATCATCAGCATATCAAAGATTGTTGATATTCCTTCCTCCAATCTTTACTCCAATTGTTGATTCTTAAAGTTCCAGCTTCCTCATGATCACTTCGGCATACAGGTTGAATAAGAAAGGTGAAAGAATGCAACCTTGCCGCACTCCTTTCTCTATTTTGAATCAATCAGTGTCTCCACATGATGTTCATACAGTGGCTTCCTGATTTGTATTCAGCAACTGCACCAACTTGACCAGATGTGTTGGCACCCCCAGACCTTCCAGGGCTCTCCACAGCTTGTCATGATTGATACAATTGAAGGCTTTCTTGTAGTCAATAAAGATGTTAGATGTTCTTTTGATAATCTAGAGATTTTTCCATGATCCAGCATAGATTTGCAATATGGTCATGAGTGCCACGACCCCTTCTGGAGCCAGCTTGAACATCTGGTAATTCCATTTCGATGGTTGGTGCCAGACATTGTTGTATGATCTTAGGGAGAATCTTGCTAGCGTGAGGGATGAGGGTGACTGTGCAGTAATTGGAGCAGTCTTTGGAGTCACCCCTTTTTGGCAATGGAATGAACATTGATAGTTTCCAATCCTGTGGCCATGTGCTTGTCTCCCAAACTTTCTGGCACAAGGCTGTGATGCTTGTGGGTGGTACAGGTCTCAGCAATTCTGAGTGGATGGTATCAACACCTGGGGCCTTGTTGTCTGGCAGTTGGCTCACTGCCCATGTGACTTCTTCCTGAAGGATGGCTGGTTCTATCTCTGCTTCCCTTTCCTCATCATCCTGAGGAGGCTGGGCCTCTTTGCTGCTGCCTCTTTGCTGCTGGCATATAGCTCTTCTGTATATTCTCGCCATCTTTTCTTGGCACCTTGTTGAATTTATGTAATGTGAGAATTATGTAATTTACATTAAAAATGTAAGAATTTATATTCTTAGGAAAAGAATGTAAATTGCATGTAGATTAGGGGCCAACTGTATGTGATACCTTGTAGTCTATTTCTTGCTCTCCTCATTCAGAAACTGAGATCAAGGACATCTATATGAAAGGACTATTCTGCTGTATAATGGAGTGGCTGGACATTCTGGACTTAGATTTGGGAAAATAGGGAGATCAGCAAGTGTGAATGGGTGGAAACTATCACTCTCATCACTCAAGCATAGAGTTCTTAGGCTCTGAAGGAGTCGTCATCTCTTTCTTATATTGTACCATTTCACAGAGATACAAAATTGGTTGTAAACCAGATTTATCCATGTAAAAACACTGTTATGCAGTATATACACTCAAATATTTTTGCTTATATAGCACCAAGATACATTCTGTAGAAGATCAGAAAGGTTAAACTACAACAATTTAGATTTCTATTAATATCATTTTTTCTCTCAAGCTATTTATAAGTCCCAGCTCTACAGAAATACAAATATAACAGTTTATAGCTACCCACCATGGTTGGGAAGAATAGTCTACTGGCTTAGGAACCTAAAATAAGATAAACATATTAAAACAAAATACAATTAAATGTAATAAAACAAATTGCAAAAAAAATCAATAAAATAAATTACCATTAAATGTATAAAGTTTTAGCTTCCTACTATAAGAAAAGTACATATTGATCTTCACCCATTTTATGAAAATGATTAAATCAGTTACTCTGCACTATTTGTGGCACTGTTGCTCAATATTTCAGTTTATACAATTAAGTTTACAAAAATTATGTTTAGGTGACATGATATAATCCTAGCTGTTTCAGTTAATGTAAAGACTTATTACAGAAAATTTCTTATTTTCTAATAATTTTCTTATTAGATTTGGTAACTGAATTCACCACCAAATGCCCATTTACTAGAATTTGTACCAAAGTAAGCATCCAAGCAAAAAAACAAGATTTTATAGCAAATTTAGGTTGGCTACCAAACAGGAAAACTTTGTTAACTTGTGCCTGTCTTTGACTAGGCCTCAGTTAGGCCTCCTTCCTCCTTTCTTGATTTAGCAACTGTTCCAAATCAGAGAAGACAGTGCTTCAGTTTGTCTCTGTTCAAGTAACAGGAAAGAATCAAACCAGAAATCCCCCCGGGGGGGAGGGACGACACACAGGCCAAAATGACAGACCCTTCCTCTGCTTATAGCCAATCAGATAAAGGAATGAAATGAAGGACAGCTGTTTCCTCCAATCAAGATTTTTTGCTACTTAACTACAATTATGGAAACATGGTGAAACATGCACTATGACATCACAATGCACTTTTCGTCACTTGCCCCACTGCCTCCACCATGGAAGCCTATGATGCTCAGTAAATTATTTCCTTTGTTTGGTAGTGATTGAGGGAAAATGTAACCCCAAACTCAGATAAGTAAAAGGATGCAGGCTTGAATATTCTTGGTGTGTAAGCACACCACAATCATTCTGCTTTTCATTTTCTCCTTATTCTTTTATTGTTCCTGATGTTTCCTTTAAGCACAAATTACAGGCAAGGGTAATCTTAGTATCTCTGTGTTCCTGTATCACAGCCCAACCAACTCTGAACAGGAATAAAGTCCAGATTGGAAAGTGGGTGTATTAAAAGGAATTACAGGCAACCCCACTGAAAAGTTTTAGAGTTTGTAACTAGCTCATTGAAAACAGCGGGAGATCTGGAAGGTCAGCTCCCATAACAGCACTGAAATAAAGGCAATATGTTCAAATAGGGCTTCCAGTAGGGTTGCATGACCACTAGATGGTAGCAAAGAGCTAATGCTTTCTGTATATCTTTGCTGCCATCTAGGGGTTGCCCATTCCTGAAATGGTGACCCTATATCTGAGGAGAAGCTATACTGCCTCTAGGCATGTTGTGAGAGTTACATATGCTCAATAAGAACATTTGTTCTTTGTGTGTGGCTGCTGAGAAGAGTAGACCCAGACTTTCATTGCAGCCAAGAGAAAATGAATAGATTACTCAAACAGACCGTGCTAAGCACAGGAACAGAACACAAGGGCAAACCCTAAGGCCTCTTGGGGGTGGAACAGGATGAGATGGGGTAAAATGACAGGTGCTGGAATTGAAAGGAAGAGTCTCCACTTCCATCCTCCTGGATCCACCTTCCTTCTGCCACCTGCCCTCTGCCCCATAAGCCCTATCAGGCACCAACAGTTACTGGCTACAACTCATAATCCCAAAGGATCTTATCCATGTCCTTGCTGGGAAGGATTATGGGAAATACAGTCTAACATATCTTTTCATCAGGTCCTAGAAAAAGCTGCTGAATTATAACACATGAAATCATCTTTAACTCAGGATTCGTACACCAACAAAAGCCTTCTGTGGAAATGAATGATAACAGACTTCAAATGTTTATTAACAACAATAAAAAACAGAATGAAAGCTAGTAAATATAAGCCATATTCATACAATATGAAAATGTCTTGCTGCCACATATTTCATACTGCAGACAAAAAAATGCCTATCAGTATTATCTCAGAACACACCCTGCTATAGATATTCTAGGTTCTCATCCATTTTTCATTCAATATTTATTGTTTGTGTCTTTTGATGTATGTATTTTATGCTGTTTCTGGGCACTTCTATATGGATTAGATATAAACGTTGTTACTTAATAATAATAGTAAAAGTGATGGTGCCTTGAAGATTTGATGGATGTTTCAGAATCTTCCAACTGTTATCATTTGTCAAAACAGAATGGCTACACTTGCCACTTGCAAGGGAGCAGTAGTAAAACATCAATTTATCTTTTTAGTAATACCATGCTTCTAACATACCAGGACTGATATTTATTCATACCTCAATTCTTGCAAGTTTCAAAACTAAACTTCTCCCTTACAAAAATATAGTTTACTAGCTTATATATAATATCTATATATCTATACCTATATCTATATTACACCTGAGTTAAATATGGAGCTAATTAACTTAGCCATTATTCTTTTTAGTTATGTTGCAGCAGGACTGTATTATGGGGGATAGTGAATTGGTTGTGGTAAGTGAAAGAAGGAGAATATTATGAAGAGAAGATTGATAGGGGTAACTATGAAAATAATGCCCAAATATGCATGAAGGAGGGATTACAGTGAGTTGGAAAGCATGGAGACAATCAATGAATAAGAGATTGGATGGAAAAAGGGAAGACATAGATGGACATTATGAGACTTGATTCCAGTTTGAAGGAAAAATTTCATCTGAGATGCACCATCCATAATTAGTGACAGAGACACTGGCAGGGGGTGAGACATATGTTTGATACCCCTGTGTAAGTCACAGGAGGATGGAGAAATGTGATGGTCACCATTAAATTCTGAGATGTGACAAGATAGCAGCAACCTTTGGAACTTGAAAGTGAAGTAGTCCAGGAACCAATTAGAGCGGCTTGAATTAATCAACCAGCCCAAGAGAACCAAGTTTGAACTACTAAGAACTTCCTAGAGCACCCAGACTTATTGCACATCATGGAATGCTGAAGAACCTTGACCCCAATAGCAAGGCCAGGAGGAATGGAGGAACCATTAATCATGGAGAACAGAGGGGAGCTGGCAAGTTTATATGGGGCATTACGTGATTGAAAAGAAGGGGAGATAGGACTCTTTTAGGCCAGCTGGTTGGCAGGTGAATTAAGATAGAGGGTAGTGATTACTGTATCAGTGATTGCTAATGATATGTGCTAGACTACGCCCTCATTTGGCAACTGATGCTGGCAAGATAGATGATAGCAGGGGCATATAAGAAGAGGCATGGGAACAGTGCTATTATTGTATTCTGGGGAAATAGGATGAGAACTCCAACTGAGACTGAGTTGGGCAGAAGTAAGTAAGCCAGTAGAAACATCAGGAAGACCATTCAGGAAAAGAAAGACCTGAATACTGATGCATCTTTTAAGCCCCAGCTCAAGGGCCCAAATAGCTAAACTGTATGGCACCTCAATCTCAGACTGTTGCTGGTAAATAACAGTCTCATGAAATAAGACCACATCCATCTACAACATGGTGATGAACAATGAAAGAGACTCTGCATGTATTTCTGAGACATGGTTGGACAGTAATGGAGGTGAAGCTGTATCAGAAATCTGTTGTCCCAGGTTTTGAGGTCCTGGAATGTCAAGGCTGAGGTGGAGAGATAGCCATGATCCTACATGATATATTCATAGAAGTACTGCCCTAGAAGTGATTGGCTATGAGTGCCTATGTGAAAAAACAACAAAAAGACAAGCCCAATGCTGTTGCTGGTGTACCACCACTTAACAGTCCAGCCACAGCCCTTCATAGGCTATCATCTCGGGACTGGTGTTGACATTTATAAGGCTGATCCATAAAGCTGCAACTTCTACCTTCATGCCTTGGGAGTGTTGGACAGCTCATGAATTCATCCTCCGTGGTGACTCTGGGGCTTTTCACAAGTCATAACAGTTCCAACACATGTAGATGGGCACATGGTTTTTACTACTTAGTAAATGAAACATGATCCAAGAGTGGAGGACACTACAACTGTCCTTTGCAATGGTCAGATCACTTTTTGTTTAAGATGCAGATCATGACAACGCTAAACCTTTGCAAGAATGGAGGACTCTTTAAAATGATACCAGATGGATCCAGAAAGTTTCCAGAAGGTACCTAAGGATTTCCCCAATAATTTGGCAGGGAGCTCCATCTCACTCCCAATCAACAGAACATGGCCAGAGTACTGGATAAGATTCCCAAGGCAAGGCCTCTTCCCAGTCACTGATCCCAAGTAGCCATGACTAAGCACTGGTATGAGTTAATATTCCAGTTTACATGGTCATGATAAAAGTAGCAAAGCATCGATTCTTTTCCACACTTACTGAAGAGTCCCACCAATCAGCCCTGTTCAGAGAATTCTAGAACTTTATAGGAAAGGATGGCCTATGGGTTGTTTGGATGAAATTGCAGGATTCTTTGCAGGTTAACTCACTCATATCCACTGATTGGATAGGGCTCTCTCCATCTATTGGCTTGATGCATGCCCCTCCTGACTCCTTCATCAACCAGACAAGAGTGTGAACAACTGGATTTGATCAATGCTTCTTTGAGGTGATTATTGCTTCTTTGAGGGAAAAAACCATGCCACTTGCTTTGAAAGAAGCAGTGATGTACTGAACAGGCTATCTATTGATCAGGTCATCCTTGGTATCTGTTGTCCTGTCTCCAATCTTCCCTCTAGAAGATTGGGGTTAGGACAGTAGGGAATCAGCTACAGATATTTCTAGTGGAAATGTATTATCTACCTTCTTTCCAATCAGAGTTCAAGCTTGGTCATGGGACAGAAACAGCATTGGTCACTCTAGGAAATGACTTTCATCAGGAGCTTCATTAGAAGAGTGTGCTGCCTTTGTCCTACTAGATCTCTCAGCAATATCATTAACTACAATATCCTACTGGACTGTCTACAAGGGTTAGAAATAGGAGACAACATTCTATGATGGTTCTACTCCTAGAGTGGGTGGTTTCAGACAGCAATCACATGGAACGAGGGCTTACTCCTTTGGTTGTTCCAATGGATGGTGCCACAGGGCACAATATTACCCCCATGTTATTTAACAACTATATGTAATTACTGGAAGAAGTCATCTGTCAGTATGGAGTGAGGTTTCATCAACACAGATGACACTCAATTGTACATCATCACAGTCTGAGCGAAAAAATTCTTTAAATTACTAAACAGGTGCTTGGAGGCTGAAGAAACTAGATAAGAAGAAACAAGTTCAGATTGAATTCTACTAAAATAGAGCTGCTGTACATTTGCAGACATCTGGGTGATCTGATGACACTATCCCTGGTAGTTACGTTGTATGGGGTCATACTTCTCCCAAAGTCCATGACTTGGGGGTCTTCATGGACTCATGGCTCCTCTATTCAGCAGCAGGTGGAAACTGTGGCCAGGAGGGTGGGGGGAGGAGTTGCACAATGTTAGCTGATGTGCAAGTTATGGCTCTACCTGGACCAGGATGCCAGGTGACACTGTCTCACACCCTGATCACTTAGTTGGACTACTGCAGTACAAAGATAAATGATAGATGGATATAGCTGGAATCCTTGCTCTCCTCCCCACCCCCCAATCCTCCACACCTATATAAGAAAAGCTAATCAAACAGAACTAATTGCAAAAATATTTGTGAGAGCAGCTGACATCATTTGGACAGAAAGAAGGTGAAAAAAATCAAGAAGAATCAAAAAGCATGTAAACATATGGACTAAGAATGTTGGTCTGATAGCTTTTAGATTCATTATGAACCTATTGTTATGGTGAAACTCCTCATAATCCAATGTGACTAGTGAATATATTAGAACTGGAGCATTCTTGCCTCGCTGTTATGAACAGCCACTTTCTTTCACAAAACGTTTATTTAGGCTTTGAGTGTGTGTGTGTATATACATACACACAAACAGATATATATAGGTAGTCCTCGCTTAATGACAGTAATTGGGACCAGAATTTACATTGCTAAATGATGCAATCATAAAGCACAATGTCCTGGCAGTCCCCATTGCTGTTGTTAAGCAAGAATTGTGGGTCATTAAGCAAGAACCTCCTCACAACTTCCTGCCAGCTTCCAACAACCAAAGTTAGTGGGGAAGCTGGCAGGAAGTTGCAAGTCCCAGGCAGCTCACAAGCAGGCCAGCAGGCAGAAGTGGTGCGCATGAGCGATTTCAGACCCTGGGGTGGCTGCTGCCAGGTGGGGATGCACAGGGGGTTGCAGCGGCGCATGTGAGTGATTTCAGGCCCAGAGGCGGCTGTTGCCAGGTGGGGGAGACTTATCAAGCAACTTGCAACCTTCCCTGCTGGCTTCCTCATTGGCTTTGCTTGGGGAAGCTGGCAAGGAAGGTCACAAATGGGGATCACGTGACCATTGGCCCTGCAATCATCAAAAGTGTGAGTCAGTTGCCAAGCGCCCATATAGCAATCACAGACTGCAGGGGTGGTGCAACGGCTGGTACTTCAAGGACCAGTTATAAGTACCACGCATTCAGCACTATCACAACTTCAAACAGTCACTGAACAATCAGTCGGTAAGTGAGGACTATATATATATTTATGTAGAAACACACATAT